AGTGCCAGAAATTCCGATTTTGCTGGTTGAAAGTTTCCGAGCTTCAGTTTTGCTCAATTTGAGGAATTTATTGGATCCGATTTTACTTGAAGGGAATTTCACAAACTTTAGTCTTACTTGGGCAGGCTTTTACATGTTCTGGGTTTTTTGGTTGAAGGTTTGAGAGAATTTGCTCTGTCACCGTATACGCAAACTTGCCCTTTTTTCGAGGCATTCAACAAAATTCTTCAAAATTTTAACAAGACCTCGGCAACTTCCTCCGTTGATTTTTTGTATGTGAAGCTTAATTCATCAAGCGATGCTGGCGGAAACACATAGGATCAACTTTCAAATTGCACCTTGCCCTGATGTGTAAACTAACTAGGAGAGGACGAAAAAGCGAGGTGTTTGAGGAAAATGAGAAATTGAAGATATTTTCAGTGTACGCTATTGTTCGCAACATTCCCAAAGCATATCATGCCAGGAATTTGCGCGAATATTTCTCAGAATTCGTTGAGAATGGAGAATTCCGTTGCTTCCATTATCGACATCGGCCGGAAATACAGGTAATTGAAGTGCTGTTAAAGCTTCCCTTTTTTTGAAGTCATTAGTATTTTCAAGATGGAATGTCCGTGGAGAATTGCTAGCAGATACAGTCGTGGAAAACTCGCAAGGATCCGGTTAAGAAGCCGCCACAAAGAAAAAGAGAATAAGAGAACGGGGGTATCTTGCCTTGAAAGGCAGAGATGTCCTGCCATGCTAAACCTGGAGCACAAGGACCGGTGGTGTAGTGGTAACACATCGCGTCCGGGCGTGAAGAGGAATGGTTCGATTCCTTCCCGGTACAGAACAGCTTTTGAACAAGGGCTTCGTTCACGACTCGCATAACACCAGATAAACAAATCGAAGAAAAGTGTACCTCCATCCAGATCATCCCCCATTTGCATCTTTTGCTTTACCGGTATGATACGTCAAGCAGTGCGCTTACAAGGGACTGAAAAAAAAAAACATATAAACTTAATTGCATTTTAAAATTTCAGATTCACAGCGATGAGGCTGAACCGTCAACGTCAAAGGATACGAAACGTTTTTGCTGTGTTGTTTCGTTCTCGGACGTTTCACAGCGGGCAGCTTTTATTGCGCAGTATCACAAAAAGTTTTGGACTGACAAAAATGGCCAGGAAATACCGCTGAAATGTTTCATTTTCCCTCTCAAACCCTATGAGGTAAGTCTCGCGTATTTGTTCAGAATCGCTGTACTCCTCTTTGAGAAAAGTTATATTTTTTCGATTTCCTCCGCAAAAATTTGTCGGGGTTTGTTCTTTTTTTTAATGTTTTTGATCAGACCGCCTTCAGCATGCGTTTTAAAAGATTAATAAATTAACTGCTTCCGAATGTATCCATTTCAGTCATAGACGGGAAGGTATTGAAGTAATTTAGTATTTCGAATGCTTATTAACAGTATTATGTGGTTTGGTTGGTACAATTCAAGTAGAAATTTAGCGGCAGTTAGGATCGAAGAATTTGACATAATTACAGTTTAAAAATGTTTCAGAATTACCGAGAATATCAGTATCTCTGAGCCATACTTCCTTGGCGGTAGTTAGGGAATAGAGCTATATGAGTTATTTCATTTCAGACCTCAAGCGATGCAAAGGGGATGCCGGCAAATCTGGATTTTCGTTCGCTGATCGAACTTAG